CAAAAACCTCATCTGCAGAAATATTTTGTATGAATTTTTGGTAAGAGATGCATGAAATTGAGAATTTGAAGAAGGGGAGACACACATCAAACATATACACATATATTCTTTCTCCAGGTTGACTTTATTATTTTTCTGGTAATGCTGAGATACACTTACCAAACTGAATAATATTCCGTTATCTGCTTTACTATATAAGCCACTTTTTTTCCCTGTTTAACTGTCTCAATTCACAATAAAATCTTGTCTACATACTGCTTTTGATTTTGCTGGTATAGTGAAAATGACAAGCCTTACTTGTGGGCACATTTCTATTAATATAAAGGTGCTTTGTACAGGCAAAGTACATTTCAGATGGGAAGAGAAGCCAATTATATGACTATAAGGTACTTTTCTATCAACAGAATTGTGTTTACACTAAGATTTCTGTAAGAAAACAAGAGACGGGGGGAAAAGTAATGCACTTACTCTGAAACATGCAAAACTAATATAAAACCTGGGCCTAAAAATTGCCAAGTGAGAAACCTATGATTCAGGGAACGCAGGTATCTTCCACCCACTGAAGGGATCCAAAGAAAACGCCATTCAGCCATCATCTCCATTCAGCCATCAGTAATTATGGGCAAGATACTGGGAAGACGATACTGCAAAAGGGGAAAGACAACAGCAATTTTACATGAGTTTTACATAAGAGATTTATAAGGTCATGAATAGCACATGGAAGATTTTCAGCTTATTCAAAGTCCACGTGCATTTGGAGGCAGGCAACATCTCACATACCTTAAAATACATAATTAAAAATCCCCCTCCATGAACAAGAACACTTTCCTCAAAAGTATTTATGAGAAAGGAGCTGGCCCCGTTCTTACTGAACTTCCAGGGAATTTGGCCATTTACCTCAACAGCTGAAAGACTGTACTTAAGAGTTATACCCTGGCACAAATTAAACCAATTCCTTTTGGTTGTGACAGGTAAATTACATTGTGGCAAACAGTGATTAGAAACCACTGTAATTCTGGTGCTTTTCCTCACGTTTCTTACTTCGAAAGGGCTTTTGCGAGGCATATTTACTATTCAAGTACACAATTTTTAAAAGATTCTCTGAAGATACTCACAAATGTATTCAGACCAGAACACCAAAGAGTTCACCCCAAAGTACCTTTAATGCTTTTTTAGCTCGTGGGCACCCACCCCACTGAAAACAGTGGCACAATCCTATTTCTAGGGTACTTTGGTGTCAGGCTTGGCGCCGGTCTGTGCATGAGCCACACAATGGTGGAGGGAAAGCAGTGGATGAGAGGGATGGGGAGCGAGAAGTGGCAGAGACACCCACTGTTCACCATGTAAGAACTGTCTCTGTGCTCACCACAACTTATCAAGAAGAGATTACTGAGAATGAACTGCAACCTAAAGATTACTCACACCGTTAAAGTGCTGATGTAGGACAAACCATGGATAAGGAGATTAATGCTCTGAGACAAAAAAAGTGAAAATACTTCTTCCTTTCCTGAAGACTGCAATTTAATTGTATACAGATTACTATGGCAGGACAAAGCATTACAACATTTTTTTGAAATTATTTGGCCAAAGGATTTTTCATGCCTTTTCATCACAGACTGTATGAAAGGTTTTGTACCACAGAGGTGTGTTCACTAAATCTCAGAGAGAAAACCCCCTCAACAATCAGGACTAGGTGATAAAATTATATTTTGATGGTCTGTAAGGCTGCTGAACTGATGGTGGCAGTGGTGGAGGCAAAATGAGTTTAAGAAGGTGGAACTACTGCATAACACTTCCTCTCCTGCTCATAAAATATGCCCAAACTATTCTGGAACAACGTAATACATAAAGTAGCCAATAATCAAAGGCAACAGATAGTTACTTTTTTATTTCACTGCTGAATGAAAGAAAATGTAAGAGAATTGTTGTCTTAAATATTATCATTAAGAAAAAGAAGGAAAAAAATTACAGTACATAGGCTAATATTAAATCTATACTATAAATATTTTGGGAAAGCAAATCCCTTTGCGCAGAACATACATTTTAAAGCAGGGCATACTGCAGTCTTTCCACTTGCAACAAAAGATTTTGCTGCCTCTCAAGATTTCTTTTTCTTCCCTACCAAGCATCACAGATCATTAAAAGTAGAAGAGTTCATTATGAAACAGCTCACTTGCTCAGAAGTTGATAATTTCTTTTAATGAGAGCTGGAAATAGCTGTGACTGTGGTGCGTGACTCAGAGCATAGTACCTCCCAGTGCAGTACAAACCATATGGTGGTTACAGCCCAACTTCCTCTCCCAGCTCCTCCTTCCTCCACCCTGGAAGTCTACACGTGTTTATAGACCATACTTATCACTATTTCTCAGATGAAACAACTGTCAAAATCCTGACTACTGTAATGGGAAATTACTTGATGTTATTTTTATGGTATCTGCTTCACAGCTACTTAAGTTTGAAAAGAAACAACCTCAATATGGTAAAAAAGCTCATGGCTTCCTGTAAAGTTATCCTTTAAACCCAAACATCAGCATGCCTCTAACTAATTTTAAGGAAAGCGTAGTCAGCACTACTATGAAAATCACAGCACTAACTATTTAATTCTCTGGATATTGGTATTCTCTAGCATCACAGACACAAAAACATGAGCTCACAAACCCCAATCTCTTAGCGAAATCAAGCTTCTAGTGATCTGCAGCATTCTCAGACTGAGAAACATGTTGAATTTGAGTCACCTGACTAAGTATCACCCTGCCACCAGGAACCTACACACTAGGAATAGGAAGCACAAATACCAACATGTATCACACTGGTGTACGATTAAAGGTAGAATGCAAAAAGGACTTCAGGAACTTAGAATCTATTGCCTCTTTTTACATCAAATAAGTGATAATACATACTAAAGGTTAAGTTACCTTATGCATTAAAAAAAGCACCTAACTCATTATGACTTTAATCCTGTTTGGGATCACAAGGCAATATTGAAATTAGTGGAGGAGCAAGAACACCACTGAGAGTGAAAGACATGGTCACTCACTCTCAGTTCTGCTCCCAAGGGGTCATCTTCACTCCAGTGGCCACAGGGGAGCTCAGAGCTGGAGAACCCCTGCATAAATTCTGGTCTGGCACACATCGTTGTAGCTGAAAACTCCACAGGTTGTCATTTGTGACATCTCCCTGCAAGTCCCTGCTGAGAACATGCAAATGACAGTTCCCTAGATGTTCGCAGCATCTTTAGATGTCTGGACTCCCTACAGGTAAACCAAATGTTCTTATGAGAGTACAACCATACAGCATGTGGGTAATAAAATTTCTGAGAGAAAGCGATGTCAGATGCCCTTCCACCACAAAAAAGGCCACATAATTTGCGTTTTTTTGCCAACAAGGTTTATAAAAACAGTTGCTAAAGTTTGCTCAAAACTTCCCCTTAAGAACATCACCATAACCCTGGTGGAAAATTTTAGTCAAAGCAGATGGTTTGTCAGTTAGTGCAAAGTCAGAACAGAACACTGTAACTGGCAGCGTTCAGGCAACACAAACAAAAAGCAGTAGATTTACCTGTAACACACATCTACTACCCCTCATTTAGTATTGAAAACCTTGTTGTACAAAAAACACATTAAAAAGATCTATATTGATATGAGCTTTTATCTGAGGATAACAATATTAACTGTAACTAAACTACAAGATCCTCACTGTATGGAATTCACCATAACCTCTTCTTATACCTGCAGCCTACCTACCGCTTACTCCCACTACAACAAAAAAAAACAAATAGCTTTTAAAACAAGTGCCATTTCATTATTAAGAACTTACTCAGGACAGAATTAGATTCCACAGTATTTCCTGTCTCAATAATAACTCCTTTGAGTTTTCCTGCCGTTCGGTACTTCACATGAGCTGTATCCAATCTGGACATACAGTGACAGTATGGACTTTAAAAGTAAGATTGTCTGACAGCTGTGGTCAGGTCAAACACCTCCCACAGCTTTCTGCAGGCACAGCACACGCTGCTGTGCAGTCCAGAGGAAGGACTTTCCCGCTAGATTACGAGATACACTTTTTCCTCATGACTAACACAGCCAAAGAACACTTGGACTAGTCAAGCTACACTTTAATACCTGCATGTACTTATACGCCGCAGGAACCTTGCTGGGATGCTTTCCGCCCTGAAACGCGCAGGCTAGCGCGGCTCTCCCTTCAAGACACACCGGGGAGGACCTACAGCACCGAGACGCAGCCCCCCCGGCTCCTCTGCCATGTTTCACAGCTCAAGACCGGAGCCGCCACCTGCCCGCGGGCAGCCCCACAGGCGGAAGCGCCGGCAGCCTCCGCGGCGCCGCGCCCCGGCGGGGCTGGGCAACCTCCTCCTGAGGCGGTGCCGCCACCCTCCCGCCCGCGCAGGTAGAGGTGGGAAGGGAAACGACACGAGCGAGAGAGCGAGCGGGCGGCGCCGCGCGCCTGCCTTCCCGCCACCCCACCCAACCGCAAGCGGGGCGCAGGCGCAATTACGCGGAACTCCGCACCCAGCAACGGCGCCACCCCACATGCGCGTAAAGTAAGAGCACGACCGCAGCCGCGCCGGCGCAGTTGCGCGGGACTCCGGCCGCGCGGGGAGGGAAAGGGGCGGGCGAAGAAGGAGGGGTGCGCACCACACGCCCGCGATGGGCAGCCGGAGCATGCGCAGAAGGCAGCCCCCCCCCCCCCCAGCGAGTCTTATGTGGCCGTCGGCGGCGGACACCCGCCGCTTCCTCAATGAGCAGGGAGCATGCGCGGGGAGGGGGGAGGGGGAAGGCGAGCGACAGGAGTTTCGTAACGGACGCATGCGCGCGGCGCGGCTCAGGGACCGCAGCCCCGCTCGGTGAGGGGGGAGGGGAGGTTGAAAAAAACACCACCTCAGAGTTACGTCAGGAAAAGACGCCTTTGTACACGGGGAGACCCGCGCGGCGCGGGCAGCCCCCGGAGCGGCCGCAAAGCGCTGCCGTTACTCACCCTCTCCGCCGCCGGCCGCGCCCCACCCCTGCTGCCCCCCTTACGGCGCCTCCTTCTCAGTGCTCAGCCCGCGCGCGCTGCTGCCGCCGCCGCCGCCGTGATTCCATCCATCTTGAATTTGACGTCATCCCACACCAGGGATGAGGTCATCGAAGGGAACGCTCGTCACGTGCGCGGCGCTCCGATTGGCCGGCGGGGGAGCGGCGGAGGGGCGGAGGGGGGGGGGGGGGTATGACAAGGGGGGTGGGGGAGCCGTCGCGCTGGCGCGGCGGTGGGGAATGGTAGCGGGGTGTAGACGGTTAACGGGGATTCCCTTCCTTTACCCGCCTCCTGCTCTCCAGACAGGTACCGAACGGGCGGCAGCCCTCACACGCGCTCATGGGCCATCGGCGCCGCGTGGCGGGGACGGCGACTTAACGCCTGGAGTCCCCCAGCACGCCTCCGGCTGCCACCCGCTCCCCCACCTCCCGTGCGGGAGGGAAACTGAGGCAGCGGGAGGGGGAAGGGGGGCACACGGAGAGGCAGGGCCCGGTGTCCCCCTTGTGGGGCCGGTGGCGGTCGGATTCGGTAGGGTGCTGCTGCGGTAACCCGTGCCCCCTCCTTGGCCTGGACTTTGTGTACTGCGGGTGGGGGGGAGGGGGAAGGGGGGCACTGAGAGCTGATTTTTTTCTTTGGTTTGTGTTTTGTTTATTTTTTAATAATTCTAATCCATGTTTTTCTAAAATGCAGGAGGTGAAGGCCCAGCTCAGTGTATGAAGAAACACTGCCCAATGGCACACACATGGCATCCTGCCTTGCAGGCCAGTCCCCTGTTCCCTGGAATTAGGGGCCCTGGTGGATTTTGGCTAGGACCCTTTGTAACTGCTGTGCTGGTTCATCTTGATGTGATTTGAGAATTTATAATGGACTTCATTATCGCTTCAGGCTTGCTTCTCATTTGATATTATCCACTTTGAATTAAATACCTGAATAGGGCTTTATGTGCTGAAATACAAGTATTAAAATAGAATTTAGAATTACAAGATTTCCCTTGTTTTTGTTGAAGGATAATATGTCCCATTATCTTTTCATTAAATATGAATCAAATTTTAGAGATTAACATTAATCTGCATATGCGTTTTCAAAGTGGGCTTGTAGATATTCCACCTAAGTTACAAATGCTCTGAAGCAGCTACTAGAATCTGTGTAATGTGTTTAATGCTGCTTTTAAACGTTTTTGCCACATTTTTGTTGCCAACATCAATGACAGCAACAGTGGTGATGTACCTCAGTGGTTCCCACTCCTCTCCCGTCTCCAGGTGTATTTTTTTGTCATTGCTGGCTCTTTTGGTGGTTTTGCCAGCTGCCCCTAAGGGCAGTGGTGTTGTTCAGTCACAGGTTTGCACCACTGCTGCTTCTGTTCCAGCAGGGGATAATGGGTTCAAACTTAAGCAGGGGAGACAGTTGAATATTAGGAAAGAATTCTTTACTCTGAGAGTGGTGAGGCACTGGAACAGATTGCCTAAGGAAGTTGTGGCTGTCTGCATCCTTGGCAGTGTTCAAGGCCAGGCTGGTCTGGGCTTCAAGCAACCTGGTCTAATAGAAGGTGTCTCCGTCTGTGGCAGAGGGTTGGAACTAGATGATCTTTAAGGTCCCTTCCAACCCAAGCCATGCAATGATTCTATGAGTGTGGCTGTGTGATGAGCCAGCATGAAGCAAGCCACTTGATTTCACCTAGAGTAGTTCCATGATTGTGCTGCTCGTGCAGGAACCCAGACAGCTGTGTTCCAGAGGCACAACAGGACCTACAATGCTAATGGGAACAAACAACGAGGAAAGCAGTTGGATATGTTTGCATAACCAGTTTATGTAGTGACACTGCCCATGCTGTTAGTAAAGCACTTCTGAAATTAAACTGAGCTCATAAATCTAGCAGTGCCCTGCTAACTTTTCTCATATACACTCAGTTGTTTCTCAGCCAAGCAGAAACAAACTGCCCTTGCATAATTATTTTCTTGTCTGCCCTTCTCCAAAAGGGCCCATGTGACAGATGGAGAACCTCCGTGCTGGAATTATCCTGCTGAAAAAAAAGGTCCTTTAAGTGTATGCACACACAGCTGTATAAGTGTGTCTGGCTGCACATTTGTTATCAGTATTTTTAATTTGTCAGTTTCTGTAGTAAAAGTACACCCATGAGAACAGAGCCCATGCAGGGGCTTGTGTAATACTGGCAACAGACAGCAGATACTCTCTGTAGTTCTTAAGCTTAAGCAGATGATTTGAGATAGTTTTAAGCATAATTCTCAAAGGTTTTGTGGTCCTAAGGGAAGAAGACTCAGTGTGGCTGTATTCCATGGTGGAGTCTGACTTGGTATTATTCAAGTTGTATGGATGCCTTAATTCCCTGTAAAGCAGATGTTTCTTGATTCTGATGAAATCTACGCAAGGAATTCATGCTGTAGAATTGTTTGGGGTTTAAGTTGTCTTTACGTAGGTTAATTTTGTCAAATACGCCATTCACATTATTTGAATACTTTCTTGTTCTTCAAGAATAGCTTGTTTACGAACATTTTTTTTTTCAAGCATTTCTAATTTTAAATGCTCTGATGGAGTGCTGAGTTTGATGTATTTTTCATTTCTATGAGTGCAGTTGCAGCTGTTATTACCAGATGCATGTTTGTTGAGTATAAGGTTTGTTTTCCATTCTGAGTATCCAGTAGCTACTCAGATCAACTTTTGATCATACTTGCCAGCAAGCTTAATCACTGGAATTTTGTTAAAAGCTGAACCCCTGCAAAATGTGGAATGTAAAGCAAGCTATTTTAAAAATATGGATTGATAGACATGGATTTTGTGAGAAAATGTGCAGTGTTAGAAAATACTAAACCACTTGCACTGGTTGTATGTGTGAGAATGTACTTTTTTTTGTGGTACAAATATTGTACTATAGGTCCAAGTTTTGTACTCTTGATAGTTTATTTTTCTTTTAATGCTAACATTTATTTCATTTTCAGTATAAAAATAATAGTGAAGTCATATCCTAAGCTAGGCTGTCTTTCTAGATTTGTAGTTTCAGCCCTTTTTGATGTATAGACCCCTAAAAATTTCTCAGTGAAGATTTGGGCTTTTTTTGTGATTAATTTAGAACTAATGACATCAGGTTATTTAAAGAGCCTTGGAAGTGTCTCGGATACGTTGGGGCACTCCTGCGTTAACAGGAGGGTTTGACAGAAAAAAAGCTTGGTTTTGGGAAAGGAGATAGATTAAAGAAGGAACACACCTCAGAAGGAATGCCATGCTGGCTAATTTTGCTTTGTTTTGATGGCAGAACCTTGGTTAGGTACAGATGTTAGAATTTTTCATCTTGGTAAATTTTCTTTGAGCCTTGTGTCCATACAGAGGGGTCCATTCTGTTTTTTGATAGCTTTAGGAATATGTGCTGCTGCTGCATGCCCTCTTCCTCAGCAGCATGGCTTTCCAAAGCCTAGGGTTCTCCCACAGCTGCTGTAACAACAGAAATGCAGTACCCGAGGGACAGAGAGTTATGTCTGACTTGTTTCCCACCGAAAACTCTGGAATTACTGTTGCCAAGGACATATTGCAGAAGGAGATAATTAATCTCTAAGAAACTGCCGTGTCTCTCAGCTGGCCTTGAAAATCTTATCAGTGGAGCAAATGCTAATGCTGCAGGACACGCTACAGCTGCTACCCCCATGCCATCAGATACCAGCTTCTGTCCCAGAACTTCCAAGGGATGAGGTGCTGTCACTTGTGATCTCAGAAGACACTTGAATGAACCAGTTCCTTTCAGCCACTGTTGAATGCAGCCACTGTTTCTGGAAACGCTAAAGGTCTAGCTTTGATTCCAAATAATCTGCCAAAACTTAATGACTTGCCAAAACATAGAATTTTCCACCAGTTTCTGATTGCTGACAGCTGTGCATGGAAAAGTGTGCCTCAATTTTTGTGTTTTCCTAATGTTTGCATGAAACCTCCTGTGATGGGTGCTAGCAGGTAGAAAGAAATCTCACTTTTCCCACTTAAAACCTGTCACTTGTTACAAAAGTACTTGCCAGTATTCAGAGAAACAACCAGGCATTAAGGTACACTATGGGAGTATTACAAAAATCACTGTGTTCCCATAACCAGTGTGAAACAAAGTACACAGAGAAGACTCTGAAGGTTTAAATTTCTTACCAGGAAAATAACTGTGACACACTATAATGTAAAACTCTTCTAATTCCTGGTATTGCAGTTTCTAAGTGCCAAGTCTCAATATTTTTTTTTAGCTGTCACCCTCATTCTTCTGCAAATAGCACAATCTAGTTAATATTTTCCACTCAGAATTCACATGCCTAAGGGCTCGGACAGTTTCAGATAAATGCTGGCAGACACAACAAGCTAGATAGCAGTTTTCTAGGGCAATATTACTATATAGTAGTAAGTAGGTACCTACTTAAACAGGTGATAGTTCCACAGGCCAGACAATGATTCAGAGAAAAATATGCTGCAGGTATTAAGGCTCACGTTCTTTAAACAGGCAGATGGTCATGGCACTATGATTGTTTAAAAGAATAATGTATTTTCATTTGCAACTAATAAGCCATTCATGGGTACTTAAAAAGACAGATGTTGATAAAAAGCTGCAGGAGCAACTGAAATACAAAATCTGACACAGTGCAGCAGACGGCGCAATTTCATGTTATCAATTTTCACAGCTCTGATTAACTTCAGCTGGAGTTCAGTGTCTAAGTCTTCTAAAAATAAAATCCTCAGTATTCTGATTACAGTGGAAGAGTGTGAGCCAATATTAAAATAGTGGCTTTGATTTCCTGGTTAACCAGTGTGTACATCCTGGCCTTTTATTTGAGACAAATTGCATGTAAAGAAGGAAAAAGCAAACGGGAAGACAGATGATAGGGCAAGTATATTCTAGGATACTGTCTGTACACTAACTCCAAGTAAGGAAGAGCAAAGGAAGATGAAGTGTCTTGTGATTATTATAAAAAAAGGAAGGCTCAGGCTTTTGTTCATGTTTAGCAACGTTTATTTTCAGGAAAAACGAATGATTGTGCAAAATTTCACGTCAGTACAATAGATACATTTATCATCCTGTTTTCCTGTAAATGTGGCTTTAGGGAGCAAGTTTCTTGGCAGAAAGCACTGTGGTTATAGCCTTAGTTCTCTAGAAGGTTTATATAAATGAATCACAGAGAGCACCAAAGAGCTGCTAGTGCTGTGGTATATTTTAAGTCAGCTTGATGCTTTAATTCCTCAGTGTCAATCAGACAGTTTGGCCTCAAACAGCAATCTGCTGGGGTTAGAGATTATGCAAAGATGGATACAAATTTCGGCACTGCAGCAAGTTCATTTGTGTTCATGCATTGCTAAGATGCTGGAAGAATGCGGTGTATGTCATGTAGATTATTTTTCTTTTCAGAAGATTGTATCTAAATGTTAGAGGTGATTTGTGGTAAGTTCTCATCAAGCACAGAAATGCAACAGTTGTGAAATAAACCTATTGTCTTGCTGAAAAACTCTGTCTATGTTTCTCTGATTCATCAAATAGTGCCAGAAATATTATTTCTAAGTGGTTTTTTTTTTTGGTTTTGCAGTCAAAAAAGCTGAGTTTTTTGTTTCTGCAGGTATTATACCTGAGGGTGCTGTTGTGTAGCTTTAGTCATTTCATATATGATACTAACATGGTGATTCCAGGACTACAAAATACGTATTTCAAGGAGAGGATGCAATTTATAATAGCTGTAAGTTTATTCTTACGCCTTTCTGTGTGCTATAAAGACAGGCCCATTGTTTGGGATGAGGAACCAAAACCTGCTTTCAGGCAGTGAATATAGAAATACTGCCCTGTAAAGCCATGGGTCAGCTTTTACAGTCAGGCTGTGCAGCCTTACTGATGTCATCTCCATGCTGATTTATCCGTTACTGGGTAGAAAGTTCAAGTGGCACAGCAAAAATAACCAAGACACTGAATTACTGCTTTATGTTCAGGCTACTGACGGAATTTATTATTGTCAGTTCTATA